ATGCCTACCTATTATTTTGGTAAAATTTCAAGGAAGCACTTTTAACATGTAAGAGGAAGCCAACCTGATTTTTTTTTGTTAAGCCTTTAACAACATAAATAGCTCAGACTTACAATCTACATTTGACACTTGAGTTCAGTAATGGACAGATCAAATTGTGGAATTTGTACCCGTAATCAATAATTGAAAAGGCAAGCTGATCAATTTTGAGTTATATTATCAAGTATTGGCCCATCACTAGTTACCATTAGATGTAAAAATAAATAAAGAGACAAACAAGAGGCCTAGAGGGCCTGAATCCCTCAACTGGATATTTAAACATCACAGGAACATATTCTGATTAAATACATCATGTACTGCAACTATAGGCTCTGTCTCTCAGCATATTGAAAGAGAATAATTTAAACACTTATCAATATTTCCCCCCTATTGGACCCCGCTCCTCTGCTCCCAGGAGGGTCACAACCTCTGTTTATACAAAATTGGGTCCCCTTTGACCAAGGATACTCTAACTCCAGGCCAAATGTAGTCAAAATCCACTGAGCTGTTCGACTTCAGGACAAGTGGACACCAAGGATGAAGCTTACCAAGTTTAAAAAGATTCATTCCCCAGTTCTTAAGAAAATATCCTAAAGTTTACAGATGGGTGGTGACCTAAAAATAATTTACACATACCACCATATAAACAGTTTCAAACATTGTGAAACATGATACATTTTTATATGCACTACCTCCATTGTTCAGGAAATGCCTCTTCACTGTAGGAGTTGTTTAGGTATCAAGGAAGTAGACGGTCTGCTGTCAAAAACCAGTGATCAGGTTGGCAAACTGGCACTTCATAACACTTCATGCTGACCGAACCAGACCTACAACAATTATGTCATTGAGATTTCAGTAATATAAATATTACTGAAATCTCAATGAAATTGCTAAATGTTGTACATAATGCACATGAAAAAAAAAAAAAACGACTTAAAACAAGTATTTCAAATTAACTTAAATCAAAGATATGTTTGATAATTGGTCAACAATATTGACATCCAATATCACTCAATAACCACTGTTCCCATGAACTATACATTTGTAGCTATAGATTTATCATCTCCTATATGAGACAAGTTTTAATATGACATCTGCAACAAATGCATATGGGCAGGCCAGGGTATGCACATTTTCCTCGAATGAGGCATACTTGATGGAATCTGATGTCATCATCTAATAACAGTAGAAAATTTAAATCTTGATTTTTATGCTAATTTCAGGCGATTAGTTTTAATTAGCTGATCACTGTATGCTGTTCTGAATATGAAATTTGCATCCACTTCTCAAATTTATCAAAATTAATTATGAAGCATGAACAGGAAAAAAATGTACATACGGTTCCGAGATATTTGAAATCCTTACTGTAAATATTGAGATAAAAATCATATAAAACATAAGGGTATTGCTACTTTTTTGGTAGTAGACTATACTAATACCGTTATTTTTTATATGATTTTTATCTCAATTTACAGTCAGAATTTCAAACACTTGTGATTGGATACTTGATATCAAAGTTTTACTTTCTACACAACGTATTAAACGTGTCACAACCTTCCAAGACCGACTTGTCCCTTTGTCAAGCTATGACAGCACCAATATCAGTTCTGTATTTCAGACATGCATTTGTAACGAACCCCTGTGTGCAGGGTTAACATTTTGCCAGTTACCAAATACTTGTGGGATTTCGTTATGGCTACGGCATCCTAACTATAAATATGACGAGTTTCTGCTACAATACAAACAATTTTGGCTCAAACCTAAATAGATTACAGTTCAATTGCTGTCATAACCAAGACTTCCCGCACTGTCGACTGCATTTTCCAAAATCTACTGCCACAATCGGGTATGTTTCCGGTTAAAGGGAGCGAGCATTATTTTCCGCGAATTTCGTTGGCCATTTAAGCGCCGGCTGTTGTCTTAATGAGAACTAAAATTCTAGAATGAATTCTAGAATAAATTTTAGAATTTTAGTTCCTCATTAAGACGACAAGCGGCGCTCCAGTCATAAACGATGTCGAAATCGCGATCGGTAAAACTAGCATAGCATGGAATGAACACGCAATAGATTTGTAAACGAGTGAAACAATACAAATGAACATAGAATTAGATTCAAAACCAGAAGTAACTAATTCTATAAAAAATAATTATGGCGGTGATCCCCTTCCATAAACATCCTGGTGAATATGACGAAGAAGGCAGGCTGTGTATCTGCTGATGTAATCACAAGGCCTAAATGCATATATGATTGACATATTTGGAGATGTATAAAGGGACCATAATAATTGCATAAATGTACGGACATTGAATGTTTCCAACCTAACTGTTTGTTGTTTTCATTTGTCTTGATGGGCTTTGAAGAATGAAATTCATAAATATAATACAGTTTTATTAAAACTATTATGTCTTCGTAATGCCATCAGGTTTGGATGCAGAACGATTTTTACACACAAAACGAAATCCGGTTAAACTTATAAGTTTACCACATTTCAAAGGATTTTACTGTTTCAACCCGGTACTTGCTGTTTCGAAATACGGACCATACTACATGTAGTGGTCGATCTGATATGTATTTTTTGTAAGCATTGACAAAGACTTCCAAGGCCTGCTTTAACATTTGGGTTTTCCCTCTGACATTTAACTATCTCAAAAAGTGTTCCTCTTGGGGATCCCGACTCCTTGGGGAAAAGATTTGACTTTTGAATGTATAGGCTATATCCCTGACTGTGACGGCAATATTGCTTAGAACGAATAACGCCTGTGTTCTCGAAATAATTTTACGCTAATAATGTTTACCGATTAAATTTCAGGTTTGGAAACGTTAGTGTTTTGAATTATGTGATTTAGCATAAGCTTGTACATATGACATTGTCTGACCAAGTCAAACTTTGAACAATCTGTCCATATTAAGGTTTTGGCAATTAAATAGCAAATTTCGATGATCAAAGGGAGATAACTGCCATAAACTATTTACCTTTCTTTGCGTCGTAATCCAATACTCTGCAACAACTGTGTACATGTAGGAGTAAAAGATACTACGTAAACGAATAACTACGATCAATAGGGGCTGGTTTAACAGGAGATACATGCACGACTTTGTTTTACATGTAAGCACATGCCGACGATACATATAGTTTGGCAATCTGACGGAAATCTGGTCCCATGCTAATTTAGTTGTTGCCTCTGTGTTGTGATGCTATGAGATTGGTCACGGTGACACAGTTATACCATCATGGAATATCAGTCTATTCTTCTTGTTGCACCCGAACCCAAGTTGGGTTGAATCGCAAATTATTTTTTATTTATTCCTTCTGATTATTTATGTTGCCAATTCGTACCATATCTCTTTACTGTCGGTCAGCCATATCTACTTTCTCATTTCCTCGTGTTGCGACATGACGGGGTATCAAGATTGTGATTTAATGGTAGAATACAACAAGAGGCCCATGGGCCTTAACGGTCACCTAAGTCCTACAGTATTTGTTTTTTGTTGTTGAAATATGAAGTGGAGATAATGATGTTCCAATTTGAGTAAAACATAGTTAATAACAACGTCAAGTTTGGTTTGTCAGGACCATGAGTTGATCATTCCTAGAACAAGTTTCAGTTAAATCGGCGTATTAGAACATGATTTTAAAAGTTTGAAATGTTTTTTTTCAAAATAGCGGCAGTAGCGGCCATATTAGTTTTTTTTCGACCCGAAAAATAACAACTCTTTGTCAGGACCGTGAGTCGATCATTTCTAATAAGTTTCAGTTAAATCGGCCTATTAGAACATGACTTTAAGTTTGAAATGGTTTTTCAAAATGGCGACCGTTGCGGCCTTATTAGATTTATGATCTACCCGAAAAATAACAACACTTTGTCAGGATCATGAGTCGGTCATTCCTACCAAGTTTTAGTTAAATCGTCTAACACTCGGTCAGGGAGTTGTCAATGACATTCACATGAAGTATCAATGAAATCCGTTCGACAGGATTTTAGCTTAAGTTTAAAGATGTAAAATGTTAACGCACGACGTACGAAGATCGTCCGTCGTCGTGTTTTGTTTGTGAAACAAAACAAACAAAACATGACAACGGACGAAGACGGATAGCAATAAAGCTATGGCTCAGGTGACCTAAAAATCCGGATTAATACCAAATGCAATATTTTGATTGAGAATAATGTTAAAGTTCTGGCTTTTAATGATTTGTAGAAGAGACAAGTCAAAGCAGTTTTTTTTTTTTTTTTTTTTTTACATGTCATACAAACCCAGACAAACTGCAGTTGCTTCAGCTCTTAAAAAAAGAGGACATTCTTGTGTTAACGACAGGAAGCAGATATGTTGCCGAAACATGCTATTCAAACTTAAATAGTGAGAAATATTTCGAAAAAAGGTCTTGTCTTGGACCCGGACAGAAGATCCGAACTAAATTAAGATCGTAATTTAATGAATTATGTGGAACTCATAGAAATGAAGTAACTATTTTTAAAAGGATAAACGACCTATTCATAGCGAAGGTCCTTCAATGACGTGTGTGTTATGTATGCATACGTTGCAAAGCAAGGTGTTGGGAAATAAAAATGCTTTAGGAAGTAGAGAAAAAATAGAAATCTCCCAAATGTTGAAACGGGTGCAGCAGATTGGATCTCAATAAGAAGGCAGAAAAGCAAATTTCAAATAGTGAACAAGATATGGTTTTAACAAACGGGATCAGAGGGATTGTGGTGCGTACCATCGTGATACCGTTATAAGTTCGATGTAATTTTGAACGTAACGTTTCCCTTCATTTCTATTATCTGTCTTGTCAATGGTAAGTGCATCTTATAGTAACATTTTATTACAAAACAACTCTTGAGAGGCACTCTTTGTAGAGGTTATAACTAAGGAATTGGTACCACTCACCTTAAAAACTGTTTAGCTATAATTTGTCAATCATGCTTAGATTTTACATATAATTCCTCGTGGTCCGAATTTTGCGTTTAGGTATCGTGGGTACCTAACCAGATTGTACTAGACGCTGGCATTCAATAGGAGCAAAGCTCTTTAATTGTAACACATGCGTATGCGAAGCGTTACTTCCCTTGCTACACATTGCTTGCCTTCCTTTTTATTCGTCCGGAAGTAGCCGTCCTATGGGGAAACATAAAGTAAAGCCTTAAACGAAAGACACGTATGTCTCAACACAAACATCTACATATAGTGAAAAATATCTTTATTTCGCAACAATGATATGCAACTTTATCATTTGTTTCTACATGTATGGAAATAAAAGAAACAGAAAATGAGCGAATATTAAAAATCAGAATTGTTGTTATAATTTCAGATTTTGATAAAAATAAACATACATATTGAGTGAAAACTAGAACTGTCAACCGGAGGATAACAAATACCCCCGCAGATGCTGGCAGTTTATTCATAATTTAGTGACCTGGACCTTGCGGTTTCCGGACAAGTTATTTGGCATATAGGGTCGTTACTCCCGTAAAATGTTTCGAAATTTGCAATTAAAATGCAGGAGCACAATTACATAATAAACTGATCATTTAAGTGAAGTTTTAATAAAATCTGTCTGTTTAATAAAGGAAACCAAACGAAGCACTTGGCGAGAGTTGTTTCTAAGCTCTCCTCCAAAACAAATTTAAAATAAGTTTGGAAAATCATTAGGAAAATTAGTGGAAAGAGGACGCCCGTAGCCTCCTCACAGCGTATTTAAAAACAATAAAAATATTTCGGCTAAACATGAAATTGCCAATGAACTTGCAAGTACATTTGCAAGAAATTCGTCAGTCATCAATCATTCATCTCAATTTCAAAAACATAAGACCCAACAAGAATAAAATAAATTGAATTTCAAATCCGATAATACAGAGGATTGTAACCAACCTTTTTCGATAACTGAACAGCACGAGTCTCTGGGAAAGTTGCACGACACTGCAACTGGACCAGATGAGGTACATTACTAATTCCTGAAACATCTACCAGATATCTCCCTTCAATGTTTGATAAATATATTAAACCAAATATACGATACTGGTCTAATTCCCGCATCCTAGAAGGAGGCAACGATGATTCCCATTCCAAAACCAGGATAAGATGCAACTGATCCGTCCTATCTCCCTTACTAGTTGTCTTTTTAAAACTCTGGAAAGAATGATCAACTCCAGATTTGTGTGGTACATGGAATCCAAACAGGTTCTCTCTCCTTTACAAAGCGGTTTTCGACATAAAAGGAGCACAACCGATCATCTATCCGTAATAGTTTTGCAAAAAAGGAGCATTTAGTTGCTATCTTTTTTATCTAGAAAAAGCATATGATACCACATGGCAGTACGGTATCATGAAAGACCTCCATCCAGCTGGAATGCGAGGAAATCTTCCCAGTTTTGTGGCAAACATCCTGTCGAATGGACACTTGAAAGTCCATGTAGGTACCAGTCTTTCCGATATGACCAAGCAAGAAATAGGTAAACCACAAAGGAGTATATTTTCTGTAACACTTTTCGGATTAAAAATCAATAGCGTAGTTAAATGTCTTGGGCCGTCGACCAAAGGATCTCTTTTTGTCGATGACTTCCTATTTTGCTATAGATCGAAACATATACACACTATAGAGAGACAACTGCAGCTGTGTCTAAACAAACTTCAGACATGGGCAAGTAAAAATGGCTTTAAATTCTCTAATCAAAAACGGTATGAATGCACTTCTGCAAACTCCGAAAATTATACAATGATCCCTGTTTAACTCTAGACGGAACTATTAGTCCAGTAGTTCAACAAACAAAATTACTTGGACTCATTTTCGACTCAAAATTAT